GCGAGCGAGCAGGCAAGCGAGTGCGCCGGCTCCTCCCCGCCTCTCTCGCCGGCTCGCTCTCCCGCAGCCTCAAACGCCCTCTCACAGCAGCCTCGGCCGCCCCGCCGGCGTCTGGGCCGCTCGAACCCGCTAGCTATGACCTCATCCCCGCCGGGCCAATCACTGCGCCCTTCCCAGCCCGACTTCCGGGCCTCCCGAGGACGCCCCGCCCTTCCATGGCCTCGAGCCAATCAAAAGGGTGCGGGGGCGGGGTCTAGGCGAGTGGCATGGCCCACGCCACCTCCTGGGTCCGCAGCGCAAGCTCAGCCGGGTCCCGACCGCCGGGTGTCGCAGACCCGGAGCTCCAAGGGTGAGTGGCGTTGTGCACTGCCCCAGCCGGCCGGCCCTCTTGCTGTGGTCAGCAGTCAAACCGCGGAGGGTACATTTGCTGGTCTGGGGAGGCGAAGGAGCCTAGGTGTGTCAATCCTAAAAAATCTGGGACTTAGGGCTGCAGTTCACCGCAGCCCGCGCTGCACTGCTGGGCAACCGATCTCGCACTCAGAATACAGCCCCCGCCCTGGAGGACTCCGAGGGTCCCGAGCGAACGCCCGCTCCTCTTTCAGTCATGCAGAAAATGTTTGCATCTTAAAATCACCGGCTCTTCTTGCCTGCGGTCTTCCCGCCCCCTGCAGTCCGTCCCCTTCATGGTCTCTCCTGCTCCAAGCCCGCCCACGGCTGCCCCCGCCGAAGGAGCTCACGTCCTTAGAGAATTTCAGCCGCCTGTTTATTTTCCTGCTCCACATCTAGCATAATTTACCAATTCCATCCACTGCCTGTCATCCTTCGCCACACAGTGAGGTCCACGAGGGCACGTGCCATCGCGGTTTTCTTTGCTGTTGCCTCCCGTCACCTGGCGTTTCATGGATAGTGAGCGTTTGCCATGTGCTACGTATGTTACGATGATTGATACAAATATTTGTGGAGTAGATGAATGAATCCTTTTCCTTGGCCTTTCCACCTTCCATGGCAGTGCATTGCTCTGTCCTCCTTAGGGTCCGACCACAGGACTCGATTCTGGCAGCTCACTGACTGCACTGGTCAAGCTGGGTCCAGCGCTGACCTGTGAACTCCTATAGTATAGAGACTGTCTTTGAACATATTACTTCTATGTCCAGGAACCCGCAGCCTTCCTTCAGTTAAGTGGGGGGTTTCATGTTTGTTTGGATTTGCTTTATTTGAATGGGTCTGTTACTGCAGGCACTAGCCCTAGTTGGTAGGCATACAAAGATGAACAACACAATGAATTTGCTGCTGGTCAGTGGGAGAGAAGGAAGCAGACAAGCAGTAATAATGCTGTATGATAAGTTAGCATCCGGGGCCTGGGTACTTGGGAACATGGGGAGGGGATTTTGAACTCAGGGAGTCAGAGAAAGTGTCCCATCTATGTTGAGAAAATGATAGATTGGTTGATTAAATTCAAAACAGGGCACAATGACTGTAATCCCAGCACTTTTGGAAGCCAAGACAGGAGGATCAATTGAGCCAGGAGTTTGAGATCAGCCCAGGCAACATAGCCAGAACCTGTCTCTACAAAGAAATATTAAAATAAATAAATGAATGACTGTGATCTATTTGCTAATTGTATTTACAAATTTAGGGTTGATAGTAGGTCCAAACAACTATCCCATAACTGCAACACTGAAAATAGTTGTTCTTCACTTGCCAAGGATGAGGAAGATCTAGAATAGAAGCTCCATGAAAGTAAATGTTTGATGTTTTACCTTGAGCTTCTAAAGACAGGTGTTTTTCAGTTATCTATTATCACATAACAAATGACACCAAAAGTTAATGGTTTAAGACAGCAACAACAACTATTTATTTTCTCTCAGGAAATGCGTCATGAATTGGGGAGGACTTAAGTTAGTGGTTCTGGCTTGGGGCGTCTTGTGTGATTGCAGTTAGATGGTGACAGGAGCTGTAGAAACATGCAGGTGGTTAGCTAAGCATCTCTCTCTCTCTCTTTTCAGGTAGACACAAGGCATCCCCATGTGGTCTCTCTCTGTGGCTTCCTTACAGCATAAAGCACACCAGCTCCCAAGGGCAAAGTACATCACCTTTTATGACTGGGGAAGTCACACACTTCTACCACCTTCACTGACAAGTCATAAGCCCACCCAAATTCAAGGGTAGGGGATTAGACTATACCTGTAGATGGTATACTTGTAGATGTACTTGTCACCGTGGTGGTGACAAGTACAGGAGATACTGTTGTAGCCATTTCTAAAAAAATACAATCTTCCACAGTAGGCCTGGCACATGGTAAAGTATTTAATACATATTAAATGAATGAAACAAAATGAGATCGACGATTTTTTGTTTTATCCCATTAGGGAATATTAGGCACATGTGTATAAAATAATATCTGTGTATTAATAATAATAAAAACATATTAGCTATCATTTATTAAGCTTTTAGTTTGTGCCAGCCACTATGCTAATTTATTTACAAGCATTTAATCCCCACAAGGTGAGTCTGGTACTATGATAACTCCCAGTTTTTAGATGAGAAATTGAGGCCCAGAGTTGTAACTTAAACCAGGTTACCTAGATAATAAGTCTGTATGGCACATACATATACACAGACATACAACTTAATTTGTCCACCATTCACAGACAAATATGTAAATGTGTGAATAATGTATAACTTTATTATAACATTAATCCATAATTTCCACAAATGACCTCCAACATTTTCATCAGTATCATCAGAGAGAGAGTCAGGTAGCGGCAGTGTTGAGTACAGAAACTGGCATATGGAAGGCATAGTTGTTTCTCTCTTCCTAGAAAATAAACCCCATGAGGTAGAGATTTTGTATTGTTCAGTGTGCAGCCTCAGCTCAGAATAGCAGTTGGTACTTCAAAGGTGGTCCACATCAGTGGGAGGAATCATGTTTAATGAGGAAGAAATGGTGCCTTATG